TATTAAACTCAAAAAACAATAAGGCACCTGGACCAGATGAGATCCGTCAGAAATACTCAAATTACTAGATGAAAGGGGAATTTCAGCACTACACAAAATATTTAATTTAATTTATGAAACTGGTGCTATCCTCAACAGTGGTTACGCTCTACCTTTATTCCCTTGCCAAGAAAGTCAATGCAAAAAGATGTGAGGATCACAGACTCATTAGCCTGATGAGTCACACTTTAAAGATATTCTTAAAAATACTACATCAAAGATTATACAAAAAATGTGAATGGGACATCAGTGATTCCCAGTTCGGGTTTAGGCAAGGTTTAGGAACACGAGAAGCAATAGTAGCAACACAGGTGCTGGTCCAAAATTGTTACGATCAGAGGAAGGATGTGTTCCTATGCTTTTTAGATTACCAAAAAGCGTTTGATCGTGTCCAACACCCACAAGTTAATGCAGATTCTCAAGAAAGTTGATATAGACCAAAAAGACATAAGATGCATTGAAAACTTGTACTGGCATCAAACGGCACAGCTAAAAATAGACAATTCTATATCCAAGCCCATACATATAAGAAGAGGCGTTCGACAGGGATGTGTGCTTTCCCCTCTTTTATTTAACATTTATTCGGAAGCCATATTTCAAGAGTCTTTGGAGGATGCAGAGATGGGAATCAAGGTGAATGGAGTATTGATCAACAACATACGATATGCTGATGATGGTGTCTTAATTTGTGACAACATAGTCGATCTTCAACAACTTGTCACTATAATCGGAGAATACAGTGAGCGAATGGGATTAGAGATTAATACCAAAAAGACCAAATTCATGATCATCTCCAGAAACTTGGATGCACTTGAAAACTCCACCATAACACTGAATAGTAAATCCATAGAAAGAGTGAGTAAATTTAAATACCTGGGATCGTGGCTTTTTGAAGACTGGGCATCGGACAGGGAAGTAAAATGTCGCATTGAGCAAGCTCGACAAGCTTTCGTAAAATTCAAGAAGGTACTGACTTGTTCAGAGTTCGATCTTCAACTGAGACTAAGGTTTACTAAGTGCTACGTATGGTCAGTGCTGCTATATGGCGTAGAGGGCTGGACACTCAAAACGAGGGATATAAACAGATTGGAAGCTTTCGAAATGTGGCTTTATCGCCGTATCCTAAAAATACCATGGACAGCGAAAATCACAAATATAGATGTCCTTAAAAGAATAAACCAAGAACGCCAACTTTTCGAAACCATCAAGAAAAGGAAAACGGCGTATCTAGGTCACATCATGCGAAATGAAAAATACCAGTTCCTCCAACTTATAATCGAGGGTAAAATTGAAGGCAAGAGAGGAATGGGACGCAAGAAAATGTCCTGGCTCCGAAACATAAGGCAATGGACAGGATTAACGACATACAATCTCTGATACATATTGCAAGAATAGAGAATTAATGGAAAATGTGATCGCTAACATCCACTAGTGGATTTGCATCTGAAGAAGAAGAGTTGATTCTTCATTATGATTTCGTTGTTTGTCACATGATCGGTCCATAATATTTTTCAGGATTCTTCTATACACCCCATTCAAATGCTTCCAACTTTTTTAGCAGTCGACGCGTTAAGTGTCCATGCTTCCATCCCATAAAGCAGAGTCGAGAAAATATAACACCTTGCCAGCCTAACTCTCAAGTCTAATTTTAGTTCTCTTGCACAAAGTACCTTTCTCATTTTTATTGAAGTTTGTACGTGCTTTCTCTATCGAACTTTAATTTCTTTGGAGTAATCGTTTATGTGATTAATTATTGTGCCAAGATAGTGGTAGTTTTCAACTTGTTCTAAGCACTACCGGTAATTGTCAGGCTATTCACCATTATTTTGGGTTTTTGATATCGTATCATAAATTTGGTTTTCTTGGTGTTTATTGATAATCCATATTCTTCTCCATACTCAACTATCTTGTTCATTAGCTTTTGGAGGTCTTGGAGGTTGTCTGCCATTATGATAGTATCGTCCGCATATCTAATGTTGTTAATTGGTGTTCCATTGACCTTGATTGCCTTGCTGTTTCTCCCTCAAGAGCTCTTTTCATAATTTTTTTCAGAGTATGCATTGAATAGTAGTGGTGACAATACACACCCCTGTCGCACTCCTCTTTTAACTTCGAAATCTTCTGATGTGTGTTCATTAATGCGTACATGTGCCTACTGTTTATAATATAGATTTGTTATAATTCGAAGTTCATTGTGTTGTAGTTGTTTTGCTTTGAGGATGTTCATTAGCTCTTTGTGGCGGACTTTGTCGAAAGCCTTGTTGTAATCTATGAAACAGACGTACATATCTTGGTTCACATCCAAGCATCTCTGGATTAGTACGTTGAATGCAAAGAGAGCCTTCACGGGTACCTACGCCATTACGGAATCCAAATTGAGTTTCTTCAATATCCATATCAAGTATTTGGTAAATGCGTTTATGGATGATCTTTAAAAACATTTTAAGTGTGTGAGACATCAGGCTTATGGTACGGTGTCGTGCATTCTCTAGCATTTTTCTTTTTGGGAGACAAATAATGTTGAGGTCAACCATTCGTTGGGTATGTCACCCGATTGATAAATTTTATTAAAAAGCTTTAAGAGGACATCAATGTACTCATTTTCTATTTATTTTAAGGATATCAATAGGCAGTTGATCTGGCCCCGGGCTTTTTCCGTTTCTGGTGTTCTTTAGTGCATACAGTACTTCTTCACTGTACTTCATTTTGTAATTTCTTACACTGTTTCTCTACCTTCTCGAATAGGTCGATTTGTTCTGAAGATCCTCTTCCTCTTTACATTTTTCCTCATAGTAAGTTTGTTTTGTCTCTCTTATCTTTTTTCTGATTTCATTGTTAATGATTTTGTAATTGTGACTGTCTTTTTCTTGGCTTGTCTTCTTTGTTCCATCATGCTGAATATCTTGTTCGGTCATCCAATTTTCTTCTTTTGTGTCGGTTCTTTTAATATCTCTTTGCTATGGAGCGAGGAGGCAGTTTTTTAAGTGTTTCCATTGTTCGTTTATCTCGTAGTGTTAGTATCTAATTTATCAAAGTTTTCGTATATTTTTTGTTGAAGTTTGATTTTTATATCATCTTCTTTCAGTTTTCTAACATCTAATTTTGGAGTTCTTTGGGTTTTCTAATACGTTTAAGCTTAAGCGTGAAATTAGCGATTAGTGGGTTATGGTCTGATGCGACATCTGCTCCTGGATATGTTTTAACTGATTTGATGGTGTTACGATATCTCTCTTTAATCATTATATAGTCGATTTGGTTTCTTACAACTTTTTCCGGTTTATCTGCTGGTGAGTCGAATGTCTCATTGGTAATTTAAAGAACGTGTTTGTGATTATTAGACTTTGTTCTTGGCAGAATTGTATTAGACGATCGCCTCTATCGTTACGTTTCCCTAGTCTTTGGTCTCCCATTACTGTTCCAGCTCTTCCTTTGCCGACTTTTGCATTGAAATCGCCCATAACTACCGTGATTTCCCTGTTCTTTGTCATTTTCAGTGCATCTTCAATTTGTTGGTAGAATGTTTCTACTTCATCTTCTGTTGCATCCGTCGTTGGCGCATATACTTGGATCAGATTTAGTTTTGTGTGTGATGTCCTTATTTGTAGTAGCATCACTCTTTCTGAGATTGGGACAAAGCCCTCTATTGACTTGTTGACCTCTGTATCGACAATAATTGCTACTCCACGTCTATGTTGGTTGTTAAGTGTTTCCCGATAATATAAGGTACCGGTTTCTGTTGAAAGATATCCTGAGTTAGGCCACCATGTTTCGCTTATTCCTAATATATTTATATTCAGTCTTCCCATTTCCTGAAGGATGTTATGCATTTTACCAGGTTGATACATGCTTTTGACGTTCCACGTACCTATTTTTGTTTTTGATAATTTTAGTTTGTCTTGTTGAAGTTTGACAAGGGTTTCGCCGGTTAACGACCTGGGAGTCCTTGTCTGTTCCTCCCCTGCTCGATCTTGGGCTCCAATTCCCATGATCAATTTCTTTTTTTCCTTTAGTACTCATTGCCATGATAATTGTACTAGAGATATCCAATTGGATCTTTAATGCAGTGGTTTCTCCTTGCCTCCTGCATCCTTATGCCGTTGACAATTTACTTGATTCATTCGCCTTTGGCGCCAATTTCTTAGCATCAGGACAAAAGAGTGCCCTTCCACTTACTAACTCATCCGTAGGAAGTCGTTGGTCAGTAAGTGTGGGATTGCTTATACCGGCAATCGCTCGGTGGAATTTTCACCATATCTGGCTACCCTCACTTACTTTAGCCTGCAGACCAATGCAGTTGTCCGGGTTATGGCACGTGGAGCCATAAGTGAGAGTTAGCTGTCTTATGAGGACCAGTTATCAAGAACCATCTCCCGTCTATGACATTCGATGTGGTCGTTCCGATATCTTTGCATCGCAATATGACAAACATCGATCCGTCAACTGGAGATGCCCAAAAGCCAGAAATAATATACGTGAATTATTATACCTGATCCAGAGGGGACACTTTAAATATTCTAAAACTAAAATTATTTTGCAAATTTTGAAAGAGCCGACTTTGTCTGAAGGATATTACAGCTTGTTGTGCGAAGTTGCTAAACCAAAATTAGGAAAAAGAAAAGTTCAAGTTTAGGTCACAAACGTTTTTGCTAGTAAAGAGTTTTGAAGTTAAAATTTGTCTTTTATTAGTTTTTAGTTACTTCTTTATTAGCTAGAGTTAAAGTAGCAAACGGCCTTATTGATTTTTACCTATCAATATGTCAAAAAGTAACTTTTTTGTATTTTTGAATATTTCGAAGGTCATAAAAAGTGTTTTATTTTATTAAAAAATCATTTTTGCAAAAAATAATAGTTTACACTAAAAAAATTGCCCAAACAATTGTCCTAACAGGCGTGTACTAGTGTAATTTTTAACCCACCCGTCCACTAGAAGGTTAAAGAAAACATTGATATTACGAATTTTCGTCAAAAACAAGATTTATTTTTATAATTGTTTACACAAATAAATAAAACAATTATTAAACTAAATACAGAATAATCACAAGATAAATACTACAGCTCAACCTTTTCATTAGAAGCTGAAACATCTTTATCGTTACCGTCCCAAGGATCAACGACAAAAACTGCAGGAAAAGTTTTGACCAGAATCGGAGTTTTGTGTCCATTTCCAGCGCGAATATTAGACAAAAAATCATACAAATTGCCTTGAGTGAAGGCACCTACAAACGTTGCAAAACTTCTGTTGTTGTAATCGACTGCAACTAAAGTTGGATATCCAGAACCGCCAATTTGTAAGACTCGCTCTATTTGGGGCTGAGCATTAGCCTCAGACCATAACCAACACCATTTATTTATTTTAAAGCGTACTGATAAATCTTTAAGAATGTCGAGATATGAATTACGACATGACGAACGACAATCTAAGATATCGGGAAGAAAACTTATTATAGCGAGGTTTTTTTCTTCACATTCACGAATAACTACACTTTTACTTATAATTTCCAATAATTCGGGGTTGGGTAAATACGTTTCAATTTTCTGTGATACCCATAAAACAATATCTGCTACATTTCGACCACCATCATAGTCTATTGGACTGACTTTGGGAATAAAAAGTTTTACTGTTGGATAGCCTTGAATTCTGTATTCTTTGGATTTACTGCTGTAGACTGTGCAGTCGTACGAACCAAATTTTACTATTTTATTTAACTGTCTTGCTGCAGCATTCCAATGTGGTTCGAGATTTTGACAATGTCCACACCATGGAGCATAAAACAATACCATCCATGGGTTGTCTGAATACTTCACAAGGTTATTAAAGTTTTTATCAGTAAGAGTGATTACGTGCTCTTTATTCAAATTCAAAGTTGTCTGTTGTTTCTTTCCTTCGAGCAAATTTATAACTTTTTCTTTAATGGATTTTAAAGCTGCTTTTGCTATTTCTTTAGCAGTTTTACCTCCTTTATATTCCTCAGGTTTCAATTTGTCAGCACCAAAAATTTTAACAGTTGGAAAACCTCTAATGGTGTATGTTGCAGCTAACTCTTTATGTTGATCTGCATTCACAGCTCCAACTTTTGCAACTCCTCTTAAAACGTAAGCAGCTTTGGAATATTCTGGAACAAGGTCTTGGCAATATCCGCACCATGGTGCATAAAACTCTACCACCCATACTTCGTCGCTTTTTACAACCAACTTTTCAAAATTGTTCGGTGTAAGCTCAATTACTTTTTTATGGTCACTATAAAGCGCTTGCAAAAAATTAAGCTCTAATAAAATGGTAATGAGTTGTAACAAAATTGCGGAATATTTAGTTTTCATTTTGACAGTTTTCGTACTTTGCGATTTGCCTACTTATATTGGCACCTTACAAATACAAATTTAATTTGACAATGACAGAAAATTAAAATATATTTATATTTATTATTTGTGAGAATACTGTTAAATATACATTTTTTTTATTCTAATTAATGTGTCTCGGCTGCAATGGCCATTAACACAAACAATATTGTGTAATACAATAATAATTACAATAAGGACATATTACTAATTGCTGCAGTTAGTCTATAAGCTTTAAAAATAAGAACTTATGACTAAATACAAGTTGTATCACTAAGTTATAAGTTAAAGGTAAAGTAAATGGAGGACAAAGATTCATATTCTGTTAAACAACTTAATGTCTTTCAAGAAATCAACTAGGTTAAAGATTTGATCGGGTGAGTTAAAGACCTCTTTAATATTTGACTTAAGTTTATGTTGTACTATCTGTTTGGCGTACCGGAGACACTCGATAAGAACGTGTTTCACAGTTTATACACTTGAGTCAATTTGGCAATTGGGCTTTGGCTCGAACTCCACTAAGTAATCATGTGTTAATTAGGTATGTCCAATTCCTAATCTTCTGACGACAACTTTTTCTTTTTTAGAGTTTGTTGAAAGTTCAAATTTCTCAACAACCTGCCGGATCTCATGTAATATACTCTTGATTGTGTTTCAGTGAGTTTTTCAGGTATGATACTATTGTTGCGTGAACATTTTCCTTAGATCATTCCGAATTTAAATATTTTGGGCTTTTGAGTATTGAAGATTAGGGATATTGTGGAAGAAATTACAGAAATAAAATGGCGCTGGGCAGGTCACGTAGCCCGATATAATGACAATAGCTGGACACCTGAGTTCTAGAATGGAGACCAAGGACGACAAGAAGCATAAGAAGACCTTAAAAAAAGGGTAGATGACATTAGAGCAGTGGCAGACAAACAGTGGATTAGATTGGCGCAAGATAGAGAAAGATGGAAACAATTGGAAGAGACTTACATTCAGAAGTGGATGGAAAATGGTTGACAAAGAGTGACGAAAGGGAATCTGTGCATATTGCTTGTTTTTTATCATCTGTTTTTAGGTTTTGAAAGTTTCTAGTATCGCATACCTAGGTATCGCAGGTATAATACCTAAAGAATGGCTCCAATCAACATTCATACTGCTTCCCAAAAAAGCCAACGCAAAGGAGTGCAATGAACATCGCACCATAGCCTTAATGAGTCATGTCTTGAAATTGTTTTTAAAAGTAATTCACAATAGAATACATAAGAAATTAGATGAAGGCATAAGTAATACACAAATGGGATTTAGGAAAGGACTGGGAACACGAGATGCACTGTTTGCAGTAAGTGTTCTTTCGCAGAGATGCTTAGATATTAATCAGGAAGTATATGCCTGTTTCATTGATTTTGAGAAGGCATTTGACAGAGTGCAGCATAATCGACTTAAAGAAATTTTATTAAATAAAAACATAGACAGTAGAGACATTAGAATCATCTGTAACCTCTATTGGAATCAAACAGCAAAAGTGAAAGTTGAAAACGAACTGACCAAGGATATCCAGATTCGCCGTGGGGTCCGCCAAGGGTGTATTTTATCACCCTTGTTATTCAATTTATACAGTGAAGCCATCTCAGAATTAGCGCTTGCCGAGATCAGTGAGGGCCTTATAATAAACGGTGAGCCACTTAATAACATAAGATATGCTGACGACACCGTCCTTTTGGCAGGAACACTAGAAGAACTGCAACACCTTGCTGAACAACTAAATATATATTGCAACGATTATGGACTAAAAATCAATTGGAAGAAAACCAAGTTCATGGTATTGACAAAAGCACAAAACATCAAAGTTAAGCTAGTACTAGATAATACAGAAATTGAACAAATATCTCCGTACAAATACCTTGGAGCATGGATCACAGAAGATACTGATCAGACAAAAGAAATAAGATGCCGCATTGAAATTGCGCGGTCAACTTTTAATAGAATGAGAAAACTTTTTTGTAATCGCGATATCAATATATCGCTCCGGATAAGAATGCTTCGATGTTATATTTTCTCTACCCTTTTGTATGGAGTTGAAGCTTGGACACTTAAAAAATCCAACATTAAAATCCTAGAAGCATTCGAAATGTGGTGTTACCGACGCATTTTAAAAATATCATGGATGGATCGCAAAACAAACGAACAAGTTCTCGAACAACTAGGAAAACAATGCGAAGTTTTAAATTCCATAAAGATCAGGAAATTGGAATACTTGGGGCACATCATGAGAGGTGAAAAGTACGAACTACTAAGGAATATAATGCAGGGTAAAATCAAAGGTAGAAGAAGCGTAGGAAGACGTAAAATCTCGTGGCTACGCAATCTCCATGAGTGGTTTGGATGCAGTTCAATTGAACTATTCAGTCGAGTAACCAATAAAATTATAATTGCCAGAATGATTTCCAATCTCCGATAGGAGTGGAACTTGAAGAAGAAGAGAAGAAGTATCGCATAGAGTTCTCCAGTGTATACACTGCACAAATCCATGAATAAAGATGGTTCTTTTAGTTCATCACATGTGGCAACCGCACATCCAGCCACTGCTTCTCTTTTGGAGGCATCTGTATACAAAATTTTTTAGAATTAGTTCCTGCTTATGATTTCTTCGAAGCGTTGCCTTATGAGAAGATTTAAGATTTCGTGTTAAGTGTATGCTAAAAATGAAGTGATTGAGTGTGGGGTTGATCTATTCCAAGTAGAAATATCTGGGATTGGAAACCGATATGTTTTAGTAAGGTCGATGGTTTTTCTTAGATTTAATTTCTGGATGTTTATTATTGATTAGATCTTTTGCGGGATCTCCAGAAGCGATAAGGGTTATTAACAGGAGGATGAAAGACAATAATAATTAGAATATAAAATTACACAGTAAATTACAATTTCAGGTGATATGTTATATAGATCGATATGGCATGTAATTAGGCGAAATGGAGGACCAGTGGGAAGACGAGCCAGAGGAAGGCCAAAACTTAGGTGTCAAGATAATATAGAGGATGATCTAAATTCCATTGGAGTTAAAGCAGGGAGAAGAGTTGCTAGAGACAGGGACGAATGGAAGATTGTTCTGAAGAAAGCTTTGGCTCATAACGAGCTGTCATGCCACTGATGATGATATTAATATTTCAAATCTTTAAAGAATTTAGTATTAGCTTTCTCAGAACAACTTACCGTTTAAGTCAAATTCATCCGTTTCTTTAAATCTTATCCCTAATCCAAAATAGTCTCAAATTTGTAAAATATACTGTAGATGCAGTTATTACAAACTACTAAATTAAAAACATACGTCCACGTTTAAAATTCTAACTTGCCTATATCTGACAAAATTGTAATAAATGTCCGTTGAGTATGAATTTACTCATTGGACATCCGTGAATAAGTATATACCGTTAATACCTACATAATTGCGTTTAACAATTCAAAACATTATCAACGCCGGTACTGTAAAACATGATTTTGTTCCTGTATAATTAAAAGTGTATGATATCAAATAATGCAAACTCCATTTTCTTTTTCACTTAGTCTGAGATGATACTACCATTAACCCCTGTTTTCCCGAAATCCTTGTTGAACAATCAATCTGCTTTACTTACCTCCCGATGTTTCTAAAACAAAAGATACTCATAATGAAGTTATACACCAGTCATTCTAGAAGATATTTTCGCGAACATTCTTGTATAATGGAAATTGCATTAGGAACTTTGTTCCTAAAGGTTGGGCTCAGGGCTCACGGAGTTTATTCAAAAAGCCACGATCCGTCACAACTTTTACAGAAAAGATTAAGTTATCAGTTCTTCTCATGATTAAATATGGTAGTTTAAGTTCAAAACGGGTGATGGAACAATTAGTCAAATTGATTTGTATCCTGTTTTATTGATCGAAAACTAAAGTGATGATATTCGTTTATTATAGGGAGAGCGGGGCACGTTGATACAGCAAGGACAGTGGGCCGACCCTCATGACTAGACAGACAATGAATGAGTAGAAGCTACTGTTTACTGTTACGTACTGCCTTATGAAGTCTTATTTACTGTTAACGGAACACTCAAGGTGCAGTTTTATAATTGAATGTTTGTTTTTATTAGTGCAAAAACATTTTTTAAGTGTTGTGTTTGAGTAAATATACCAGCAAGAAGATATCTTTTAGGACATTCACTGTATTCACTTAGACTGTATCTAAAGGTGAGGGTTCAGTCTTCTTGGTTTACAGGTTAGTTTGATTTAAGACATAAATATTCAATGGGGTTAATAGAAGATACCAAAAAGAGCACTGAATGCTAGAACATAGGAAAAGATACCGGTTGTAAAGCCAAGAAAGCGCTGGGAAGACACAATAAATAGCGACGCACAAGCCCTTTTAGAAGTCCGTGTATGGAGAAGATCGGCCACAGACAAGCAAGGGCAGAGGCAAAAAGTAAAGAAGGCCAAGGCTTAATTTGGGCTGTAGTGCTGTAGAAGAAAAAGAAGTTAATACAAGGGGCACATTGATACAGTCTAATATGTTGTTATTTTGATACAGAAATATGGTGCGAAACTATACTAGGAATATGAATCGAGGAAGAATCCCAATTGACAACTTCGAAAAAACCTGTGAAGCCGTCAAGGCCCAAACGATGTCCTCTACGGAAAGCAGCTATGGCCTTTGAGATCTACAAAATGACTTTGCTTAGATTTATAAGAAATAACGACGAATCTGGCGGTCGAAAGATTACAACGGGATTATCAGAACTAAGACAGATTTATGCAGATCAACTAGAGTCTGAACTTGAAGAGTACATAATACATTTAACAAAAATTTATTATGGACTCCACAAAACATTAAAATATTAACTTATGAACTTGCTATCTGCTTCTTCTTCTAAGTCTTTTATCGTCCATATTTGGACATAGACCTCTCCTAACTCCTTCCATAGGTCTCTATCCTGAGCAACATTTTTCCAATTTTTTCCGGCTATTCTTTTAATGTCGACAATCCATCTCATCTGTGG